CCTGCCTCTACTCCAGATGTAATTCGATCACCTAAAGCCGTAAAATTTTCATCCGGGCTCTAGGGCAGTATAACGTAAATTCGGTCGGTTCGCTGTCACTCTGATTATGTTAATGTTTTGAAGTCAAAAATTAGTTGAACAGATCTGAAGTACATGGTTTTCCTTGTTAAATGTTCAGCTCGTGTTTGTGTTCATTTGGATTCAAAATTAGAGTAACTCTCCATTGGGCTGCATTTAAAATTTGGCATGTGCTTTCTTCGAAGACTGGTATTTACACAACTAGACCTACCACTTGATGTGATTTAGTCAGTAAGTTTGTATCAAATGAAAAGTTGACACACTTAATTCTGTTGGGGTATTACTGCATGTATTTTACGTTGAACGAGGTGTTGGATAAATACTGCCGTTATCAGCAAAGTGAAGCAAATTGCCCCAAGATAGTCGATTTTTTTAATTTACAACCTAATGTATTCCTTCCTGCTGTTTAAAGATTTTGCTTAACTACTTTAAGTGATATATTTCTGGCTGTCCATACGAGGTAGATGATGAAATATACTAAGCATACTTCAGACAATAATGTAGTAATTAAAGCAATCTCTGTCTACTTAAACTTCCATATATCTTACAAAAGCTTAGCCGCCAGTATTCACTTAAATATCAGTGGTGTCATTGAGTAGTTGCTTGTAGTCCGCATAGGGTAAACATGACACATTAAATCTACTTCACCTAACTGTAACATGCTTCGCAATTTGGCTACAACAGGTCCCCGACAGAGTGAGTAAACAAGCTATCAGTTACAATGCTTGTAAAATTTTACAAAACTTCTAAACCGCACGCTAAATACGATGAATAGCTTTGATTTTATCCTATTGATTGATCCCGTAAATCAACAACTTGACTTTCAGTGTAAGCAATCGTTTCAATATAGTATGCGATTGTATAACTTGATTAACTAATCGGTTATGTTTTTGCATTCCAGTCAATAACGAAGTGTCGTGTGGAATTTCTTGAGGAAACATTTGAATACAAACCTGCTAAGTTAGCAAGACTAAACTTGTTAATGTCATCAGAATTCGGCGAAGGGTTGACGTCAGTAGAGAGACCCTTGCATTTAGCCGGAAGGTTAAGGCCAATTGGCCAGGTCTGTCCATTTCCTGTAAACATCCGCGAGAAAACTGCCTCCCATGGTAAGCCAAGTAATTTAGTGTCAACTTTGATTAGCCGTTTGTTATTCCTTAAAATCTGGCAGATATACCGATTTTATCTTTACAATGTTCGCCTGACATATAGCATTGATGCATTTGAATGGAGTGAAATATTTCAAACGTCACAGCACCTGAACTATTCATAAGTAACTTTTATCTTAAATGCCAGTTTATACATTGAGAAGATGCATTTGACCCATTTGTCATAATATATCTCAGGGTGGTGGATAGGTTTTGCAGGGAAACCTTTATTTGTGATGTACTAAACGCAGTGTTTTCTCATCGACAATGTGTTTGAAATGACAGGATTAACGTTTGTAAATTTAGGAATATTGTGTTGTATTTGCAATACCAATAGTTTACAGAACGGTTGCATAAACATATAAAAACTTTGCTACGTATGCGAGCCAAGTTCTTTATTATGATAAAGCAAGTTTCCAACCATCGTATTTCCACGATCAGCGCTGTACAACCTGCTAATTGGTATTATACTTTTGTGCTAATTGTTACCTCTACTGTAACAATGAGGGATTATTTTAATAAGCTTTTAAATGTAACCCTGAATTATGGTTAACTGATGGGATTTCGCATAACCACAAGCCTTGGATTGTACGCTGTTGCCTATTGCGGTCATATAACCGGAACGTTTTATGTCGACAGATGCCATTGCCAACTCGATAGCGGGTGCACAAATTACATTCCACATATGCACATTAAGAGCGAGCAATGCAGCTTGACTGTACTACATATATTTGGAACACAACTGAAGTGTAAATTGGCTAGGGTAAGTCTGAATTATAGCATTGGAGATAATGAAATGAAACGGAAGGTTTCTAAAGCAATCTAGCTTTATTAATTTGCTACAGACATTGTGCAGCGCGTTTGCAGGAAAATGGAGTAATCAAAACCCTATCAGTAACAATTCTCTAACCGTTGTGTTCCATTTACATGATCCGAAACTGCACTACACTTTGAATGGCTAACAACTGTTGATAGTGAATATAGAATGAGCAAATGTATTGCATGTCACGGATCGAGAATAGGTGGTATGCTTCTCGGTGGTTGCAATAAATTACTCGAATCCTGCTGGAGGCACGATTTGGAATCACATTCATGGTGTAAATTACATCAATACATAAATTTCTAGCTAGGATGAAGCGCTTTCTGTTACTACATGGCGTTGCCACCGCACCAGAAGTTGCAAGATCGCCAACTGGCGAAAATAGCAATGCTCAGGTGCGTTTTTCATTTGTAAACGGACGCTATATGTACAGGTGAATACTGAAAAGATTGGACATCAGTATCTGTTTTGTACACTAATTTACTGGTTTTTGAGAGAAAGATACGCAGGTAGCACCACTAGACATCCAGCCAAAAGCGTCCCAACCTATCATCTACGTATTTGGATCATAGGTCTAGTAAAGCCTGTATCACGGCGCTTGGAGCCGATACCCATCACTCCAGAGCATTTTAGACTGAGGTGAGTAAGGTGCCTTTGCAGCGGCCCAATTTTGCATGCTGAATCGATCGATGTTCGTCGTCTTGACACCATTTGTGTGCATACACAAGATTGGTGTGCATGTGTCAGTGACGCGAATAATTCCGAGTTATTTAAGGCCGCTTCTAAGTAAGCCAGTGGTCTCGGAAAATCCATAGACCACTGCTTGATTTCCGCCAGATTTATAACTAGTGTTATAGCTATTACGTAGGGAAATCTTTCAGGTAATTCAATTCAAGCGAATACAATGTCATCAAGGGAACGCTAGGATGGGATTGATTGACCCAGCTAAGTGGATCAAAAATTGGCTCCATGCGGTCACTAGTGCGTATCCCTTTAAATAACTGTGATCGGAAACAGCATCTGTTAGCACCACTAGCTACTCGTGCAACTAAGAATACGCGGGTCTCCGACCTTCATGACTTAAAACCTAAGCGTAGTATGGTAAGTTGCAACAAAATATTAAACCAAAGACGTTGTAAACTGAGCATTATGCATAGCTTATTGAGACCATGGATCGCCACGCCAGTTTTGTCCACTGCAACATTCAATACCAATAATTCAGTGGATGATGAGTTGCTCTGTGGTTAGCTAGCATGTAATCCATGATGATCATTCGCTGCCATGGTTCATTGACAGAAACGGTTGGCGATTGGCGATGACCACTAACAGAAATCGGTCTGATTCAAATAAAACCGTGGGCTGCGCTTTATTATTGATTCTATATGGCACAAAACGGATGTTTGGTACAGCTTGTCTTCAATTATTTCAGCTTTTCAGCTTTCAGCTTTACCGTGAACATCTCTAAACGGTGCTGACGGCAATCAAAGGAACTTCGCAAAAATGGTGCCAATTTAGTACTAAATGGTACTTGTAATTGTTGCTGCACTAAGTTACAAACCGGTTTCGAAATTTTGCATATGTAGTAAGAAGTCTGTCGACTTTCCGGGGGTTAGTTTTGTAGAATGTGCTGTTAAATTCAGTGTCTCCCTAGGAAGTGTATGCTGGGTACTGACGACGGTAACGCATTGCCAAAACTTTGAGTTGGACGGAGAGTATCCTATCCCGCTACGTGTTAGACACATCTCGAATTACAACGCTTTCGCGCAGCTATAGCCATGTAGTTTGTTCTCAAGCACTTCCTTATCCTGATCTATATGGGAGGTCGCTGATGATGTGATGCGTCTTGTCTGGCACGACATGTTTCATGTGCTATATTTTTAGCTAACTTGCCTGTGACATGGGAGTTGTTGTTTGTTTGATACCGAACACGGTCTGGTAAAGAATGTTTGGACATTTCTACACCCCAAGGAAACTACGTTTTTAGTTTTCTGACATCCAGTTTTATCAATGAAATCTTATTGTCAATTCCATGGTTAGGGTCAAAGATAGTAACTTTCAAGGAAATACTGACAGATGCAAGTGGTTTACTGTAAGTGCCTACTCTAGTACGCCGTTATACAGAGGGATAGTTGAATCCCAGGTGAATCCATTCTGTATGCTGATAAACTCATGGTAAAACGAGCGGCCCTCCGTCAAGCAAAAAAAGATTGTGCGGTGACACGAAACACTGTATTACTGAGCCATGGTTTCTTTCATGATCCATACTCCTCTTTTCTACCTCGATTCTCCATGGCTTCCGCGCTGGTCACGCGTTTGTGTTCATTGATTTTCGCTTCACGGGTCTGCTTCGTTCACCCAACCGCAACCCGTTCGTGACAGTGAGGTTGACTTACTCTGTGTGTCATATTTCGCTGTACGTGCACCAGTGGTCTGTGTCATTCAATTGGGAATTCGTAGTCTGTGGACTTGATCCAGACACTCTTATTCTGAGTCTTGGGGATTCTAATTAGCTTTGTGTCTTACCTATTCCTTCCCACTCCCAATATCGGTCTTGTGCTTGTCGGTGGTCCCTGCCTTTGATTGGTTGTCTATTGGGTATTAACGGTCATACGTAGTGCTGAATCATCGGTTGCTTGTTGGTATGCGGATTGGCAACTAGGCATACCGACTTCCTTCACAGTCTGCCTTTCTGATTGGCTGAATATTGTGTCGGCCTCGGTCACAAGAAATACTGCCTGTGCTGTTAATTGACTGCTAAGTGTACCAACCCATAACCAATAAGACTGTAATTAATTGATAAGGTGCAATGCCTAGCTGCGAAATGAGTAAAAAACATTTATTCTCTTAAGACTATTCATTTATTAGCCCAATAATTTAAGAGCATTACGCACATTACATCAGGTTATAATTTAAATTTGTGTGACAATTTTGCACATGCATTCGCCAAATAATTGATGTGCAATTTGCGATCCACAGTGCCTTCTAACACGATTATGAACGGAGAAAACTTTGGTGAGCTAAGCCCCAAAACTTTTGACCACAAGCAAGGTTTATTTTAGCGATATAATGGTAATCGGCTCTCTTGATATTATCGGAGCGTTGCATGGTTTCTAGTGCACAAAATGTCATTTTTGACTGCTATTTGTTCTAGCCCAGATAACCAGATTAAATTGTTAAAAATCATTTCATTCTTCACTTTATTTCGATAGAATTTCGGGTGACATTCCGCAAGTCACTGATAATGCGGTGGCGTAGAAGCAAGCCCAAAGCAACAATAATATGCCAAAAAGTAAGTATTTTCTCGCGTAATAAATTTTGACATATTAGTCGGGTAAGCCCCATTTTCTAAAACCGTGTGCAATGTTACATCTTACTGTGTTATGCTATACACTTCAAGGACTGTGATGCATGTTACTTATCTCTTTTGTTTATCGCCAGCTGAAAAATATCTCAGAGGGTATGATAGAAAGCTGCACTGAAGTCACGATTTATGGAGACTATGGATTTGCTGACGTTTTGTTCGTCCCAACAACTACCTCTGTTTGGGAAGCGCAAATGAGCCTTATGATTCAACTGAACTCAAAAAATAAAAGGCGATGCAATTTCAATGTGGCAGTTAAGCCGATCACCAAAGGTTACTAAAAGGACAATGAACGTTTATATCTTTTAATTGTTTACTTGCACAGACCGAATGATGAAACGCGAACTGGAAAGTAATCTGTATTAAACATGTTGGTTGCTTCCACACTTTGGAGCGTAAACCTTATTATCTTAAATATGCATATAAAACATAATCCTTAGTTGCTGAATAAAACGAAAGCATAAGCTTGCGTGTTACAATTGCAAATTGCTGTTATTGAAAAACGCATAAAAAGGTGGAAAAAATTGGCGTCTGACATTCAGACTGGGATTCTTTATTATTACACTAACCGAATAGAGATAACCAGCAACCACAATCAGTAGCATAAGATGAGCCGGTTTTACACGCGTAACCAAACTATGGGCCCATCCACTTAACACATTATATTTCGGTTGGAACCATAGTTATCCAGATCGCATATCAGTCCTTCATTTATATAAATATATATATATGTATATTTATATATGTATATGCTTAGCAGCATCTAGTTCCGGAGTTACTTGTCACCGTGACCCTCACGTGGAGAGCCACGGAAAGTGTACGCCTTCATAGAGACAAATGGGTGGCTTGCGCTACACCACCCACAGCTCCATCCAGACACCCCATATCCACTGTAAACCATAAGGAATATGACCGAGAGGCATGTGGATAAGAGCCACGTTTCTTCAGCGGAGCCGTCTCACAGTGCGCTAACATGCACAGCAGTAGCATTCTTGTTTTTCAATGTAGGAAATAATGCGTACTGGTGCGAAATCAAAAGCCGAGGAGATTATGGCCATATCCCTGCTTGTCGCTTTCGGGGAGTTGTAGAAGTAACCGAGAAGTATTGTGGAGGAGGCTGCAGCGACTGACAACCACAGAGATTCTGGGGGGTTGTTTAACAGTTGGTCGTCAAGGAACTTCGTTCTGAATTTCTGATGGAGGTATACGATCCACCCATCACCCTTCTATTTGCTGTGAGCTCCTGAAGATGGATATTAGTAATGAATATCTAAAGTATCCTCCAATGAATCAAGGAAGCACCAAGTTTCAGTGAGGAAGCTAACATTTCAAGTGTTCAGCTGAGTAAGCGTGCATACAAATTACAACTTGTTTTTTAAGTAAATTGCGTTGATTAATATAAGTGAAAATGTGGTGTGCACAAAAGCGATTTCTATGAGTAATTCATAGCATTTGGAATCCGAAATGACAGACGAAAAGTTAAATAATAAGGTGATGGAGGTAAACCCCTCGGTGAAATGATCAGTTGTAAGGACATTGTTCGCGCTAGTTACATGGTCACTGCGACTTAGTGACGTGCTCCTAGCTATCCTGTCGACCATGCATTCTTCATTGGTGAGTACATTATCCAATATCGACGGTTTGTTAGCAGTTCGAAATCTGTTGGCGAAGGTTATGTGGTTGTACAGAAGGTGGCTATCAATTAACTCTTGCTAGCAGGCTTAAACAGCACACCATAGGTCGCTGGCGTCTTCATACCGTGCGCATTCAAATCTCTAGGGGTAAGAATGTGAGGGTAGGATATTTTCAAAGCAACCTGAAAGACGTGGCTCCGTTTGGAGTCCATTTTCGACGTAGTGTTTGGTGGGCGGTTACTTATGGCTAGAAGATCTGTCCTTGTTCCGCAACCGCAGGTGGCACCAAAGCGAAGCAGGAGTGCCGAAATCAGAATGGTTGAGAAATTCACGTTGGAGATTAGTATTACAATAAGGAACCACATCACCACCTATTCCAAACCTGTCGTCCCGAAGTAGCGTCATAAATGGTAAATTGATATCAGAATCGGTTACCTCAGGGTTTAGGCAGGTAGCTAAAACGATGACGAGGTCTTGCGCTTGTGAGTCGTGAAGTGCTATAATTTTGGCCAACTTACTTAGAAGACCTTGGGTATTTGTGTACCTACAGAATAGTGTTTCCTTTGTTAGGAGGGCATCGGTGGGTATCAAAATGTGTTTGCTTTTATGCCGCAGGTTAGGTGGCCGGCGTTTAATCGTATCTGTTTCATGATTTACCGTCAAGTTTCATCGCGTTCTTGAGCATTCCTGAAGTTTCGCTCGTGCTGCACTCTGTCCTGTTGTGTTGGTCTCTCCATAGTACTCTGCTGATAAATGATTTACAGCCTTTTGCAAGTCTTATCGAGTTGATTGCGACTCGCGGCCGTGCGCCTGCTGCATTTAGGTTGATAACATTTGGCAATCTGGCTTGAAACTTTGACTAGTTATCCAATAAAACATGCGTCATGTCCTCGGAGTCTAGTCCTACTTCCATTAATCTTGGACAGCAGTGTTCGTAGTTGGGTGATGACAGAAATGCTGTCAAGAATTTGATAAAAACATTGCCTGGAGAGAGTGTTTAACGGATCTAACACCACTTCCCTTGGTCATGTGGTTACACACCATAAGCGGGCTTTTTCTAAGAGAAGGTCGACCCAAATTGCCGTTCTAGGCAGACTGCTGATTCCCCAGCTGCCATGCTAATTTCTTCAAGTGCATGTTCCGGTATCTGCTATATTTTCATTAATAGCCGGCCACAAGTAAATTGTGATCTCACTAATCGCTGAGGTCATTGATTCATTTGCGCTGATCATAGCATATCAGATAGATGAGTAGTGTGGTAACATTCGTGTAACACCGTAGTCGGGAAAGGATTTCAGAGTGATAGGTGCTTACTCTGGTACTGTAATACCTACTCTAGGTTAGATAAGAATTTTATTGTATTTTGCGCTCCCTATCTCAAATTGAAGTGGTTGAGTTTGCATTGTGCTTGTCTAGCTGACATTTGCTCCCGTATACTACGTGACCGACAGGTTTCGCAGCACTTTGCTTCTGATGGGGAGTATTTGCAAAGGTTTAATGCAGCAGAACAGTTAACAAAAGAGTAAAGATCTTTTATCAATACGTTGAGGGCGCGGTTGGAGGAAAGGCAATCATAGCTGGAGTACTTTGTGCAGGGTGCTGTAATTGCAATGGGAGGCCAGAGCAATGTGCTTATTCACAATCATGCGGAATTGGTAATATGAGAGACTAGAGTTAGACGTGCTTTGGATAAAAGGCGGGTACAAGATAATCGCCGAATTACCGGCATACTGTTACATGTTGACATAAATAGAATCCACAGGTTCGATCGTTGTTGGGATGCAGAAGACCTTAGTCATGCAAGGCATGTAAGGCCGATATCGGTGGGATTCAAGGGCCCCATGAACCGTGAATTATCGCTTAGCCGGAACAGTGTCATCTGAAATCCTAGTAAAGGTCGGTATCGCGTAGCAACGTACACAGCAGTTTCAAAGGTAAAGGATGCTTCAACAACTCTAAGGAATGATAATATCACTGAGTATACACCATTATCTAGCGTGTCTCCTGCCGAAGAGCCCAGTGGTAGCAAACCAGTTGACGCCACTTTTGTTCCAAAAACCATGTTGATGAAACTGGAAGGGTACGAACGACAAACAGACAATCTGGTGATCACCCTACTTTAGCAAACCACGTCTGCAAAAGGGATCGAAACTATTTTCGAGGTAAATGTGCCCATATTTATAGAACATAGTGTAGTGTATCTTGGTCTATTCAGTGGGCAAAATGAAGACAATTGGCGAACGAGCCGAAAAGTAGCTCGGTCGAAGCTGCTAGCAGAACTCATCCTGTGGCGTTCCGCTGGAACAGCTTAAGGATCGACGGCGTCGCGCAACTGAGGTACACAATCACCTTGAAATTATCTTGTAAAACCTACTATCCTCTTGGATCTTAAACATGAAGTAAAGTTTAATTTTTGAGGTAGAGGAAGGATCAGCAAGGAGAGTTGAGAAGTTAATACACTAACTGTTGTAGCATAAGGAATGAGTGTGAAGTACTGACGTTAAGTTGTAGGCATGTTGATGTATTCGCAGTTCCTGGAACATGACTCTACCATTGTGATCCGATCTGTTTTTTACTAAATGGCTTCTTTGAATATAGAATGGACAAACCAGACGATCAGGCAGAAGGGGAAGTGATTTTGCTTATCAAGAATCCTAACTGGAATTGGGGGACGCCCTTCATCATGTCAACATCCTGTGTCCAAGTCGTTCCTTGCTTTTTGAGGTTGGAGGGACGGTTGGAAATAATTGTTTTAGCTTGTATCGTAACCTGTCCTCTATGCGATTGGAAGCTAAGGGGCTTAATAGGCTGCTTAAACAAACAGTGGTAACTTCACTGCACTTTGTGATCATCGGTGACTTAAATATTTTGCATGCGGATTGTGACCATGCAACTAACGCGATAGATTCTCTGGAGCGAGACCTGGTAGAATGCGTGCATGAGAATGTTTATGTCTAGGATGTTATCTTCCAGAAGAGGAAGCGGGTTGGTTGTACTCCTTCAACATTCGACGTAGTGATAACCAGAGGTGGTCATTTGTCAGAGGTACAGGCTGAGGCTCCAATCGGTAAGGGTGACAACAGTGTTTTTAATTCTCCTTAAATTCAAACAGGTCTCCGGTGAAATGCCAACTTATGAAGAACCTGGGCAGCATTGACCTCACTCAGTTATGAGACTAAGGCCTGCCGGTAGACTGGTTTCCTGAAGCAGAACAAGACATCTTAAACTAACATTGGAGCTTGATTATAATTAGGCTTGTTCAATCATTAGAACATTCGCTCCGTGGAGGCCCAGAAGGTAAGGCTCCAACCCGCGTTGGCGGCGCCGAGGAACAGATCGAGCGATTAAGCGACGGAATGATTATTGGAATAAGATTCAGGCAACTGGAGAGTTTAGACATTTGCTGTAATACTAAAGACGTAGGAATATAACAATCAAATGGAAAAGAAAAGCGAAATATTGCTTTGGGCTTCGATTAGCTCAGAAAGCAGAAAAAAAACCTTGTTGTACTACAGGTACGTTCAGCCGAAATTGAGAGATGTAGTTTGAAACGTGACCATGGAGAGTAGAAGTTACAGAAAAAGTTAAAGAAGGAGCGGATAAGGCAGAGATGCTGCTGCGTGTATTCCAGAAAGCGCA